TGTTTACGTCGCCGAGACTTCAATTTGCAATGCCATTCATTCCTGTCCAAATCTCCAACATCTCAACCTTAGTTTTTATGAAATTACTGATGTAACTATAAAAGAAATTTCTCGTTCGTGTCTTTATTTAAAATATCTTAATCTGAAGGGGTGTGCTAATATTACTAAAGAAGCCATAGATCAGCTCGTTTTACTTAATCTAAATATCTATGTTAAGGATTTCATGAATTCTATGAATATGCGAGCTGAATTAGATCAAGAGATAAGACGGATATATAACATTCAGCATAGTGTTGGTAATAATCTAAATTCAGTTTTACCTCAGTTATACCAGTATCTTAATTTTATGACAGTTGACTCTAGTGACGATCACCACATTATAGCTATAAACAGACATTCACCGACTCGAGGTAATATTTCTACCTTAATGTTAAAAGCTGGTAATAGAATACTAGCCAATCAATCAGAATGGTACTCTACCAATCTAACTAACCTGGATCAGTGATCAGCATGGAAGATTTTTTGTTGGGTTATACCCTGTGCGACAAAAAATATAGATTAGCTAACCTGTTCTAGACATGGACATTGGTCCGTATCAGCCAAATTTTTTACGAAAATTTCGTGCAATTGTTGAGGAGTGACCTTCGGGAATAACAGTAGTCCCTCTCCAGTAAAATAAAATATTTTCACTCCCTTATCGATGAATCTCTGTATTAACACACTTGTGACATCTTCTAAAGGACCGTGATATTCCTCAAACTTTTGGAGATATACACTTGCATTTTTATCGGCCTCTTCTGCCATTTCTTGGTTAGTGTAGCTAACTATATTGAGTTTCTTCTGAATTACTATTATATCCTCTTCCAAATACATAAGCAAATTAAATATCTCCCCCAATGAAATATCTGTAAAAGCTTCATTGATATTCCACCTCTAGAACAGGATTACCATCAATGTTGAGATTCTCCTATATCGCTATTAAATTCCCTACCAATTCTAACAACAGCTCATATGAATCAGCAAGTGTTTTCCCCATGAGCTCGGAATCTGAAGGCACTGCCAACTGATTTGCATTCCCACCAATACCGAGTTTTTCCTGAATAGCTATTATATCCTTCTTCTTATATA